TTAAAAAAGATCAAGTGTCAGCCTTTTCTTGTAGGTTTCTGACACTTTTACAATTAAAAACACAAAGAAATTCTTCACCCTTATCATTTTTATCCACCTTTTTAAACTGCTTCTGGCCCTCTAGTGGTAGTTACGAGTATCTACATTATTTGCATATGGTTACAATTTTTGTGATAACTCAGGATGTATTTTCTTCATAATTCGAAGTTTAGACTATTTACAAAAAGTCAAATTAACTTTTGAGTCCATCTTTATCCTTTATACACTACCACAGAAGTAACAGTCTTAAAAAATTGCTTTGAAGAACTCTTCTTAAACACAGGTAAAAATTGGTAAAAAAACTTCACAAGGTTAAAAAAGATCAAGTGTCAGCCTTTTCTTGTAGGTTTCTGACACTTTTACAATTAAAAACAAAAAGAAATTCTTCACCCTTATCATTTTTATCCACCTTTTTAAACTGCTTCTGGCCCTCTAGTGGTAGTTACGAGTATCTACATTATTTGCATATGGTTACAATTTTTGTGATAACTCAGGATGTATTTTCTTCATAATTCGAAGTTTAGACTATTTACAAAAAGTCAAAAAAGTAAAGGATAAAGATGGACTCAAAAGTTAATTTGACTTTTTGTAAATAGTCTAAACTTCGAATTATGTATAAATGAAATTTTTGTTGGAAATATAAGAATATCATTAAATTATTGCTAGAGAATTGTTAGAAAAACCCTTGTTGTGCATTATTTAAAATATATGATTCCAGCAAAATTTATTTATAGTTTAGGTTATTCATATAAAATTTAGGATCTATAACTGTTTCTGCTGTATTGTTTTGAACATAGGCACCTTCAAAACACTTACATAAAGGTCAGATTTGTATGAAATGCATGATTATCCTTAAATACTGTTATGTTGAAATCTCAATATAAATGTGATTTGGGTCCAAGTTTCACATTTACATGGAAATCTCTCATTTTTCAATTCTCAAAACTTTTTGAATTAACATTTACAATAATTTTAATCCAAATATACTTATTAATTTAATAATTTTAAATTTAAATCTTTCAAAAAATTGTGTAAATATAATGAAGATAATTTTTTGTGAATAAAGTAGTCAAACTTCTAAGTATGGAACATATGCAAAATAGATTATATTCAGTTTAACCAGCAATATGGGTACAATAGCAAAAACTAATGCTGAATTGCTAAGAAAATCTGCATGGGAATTTGGATACTAGAATTTAAAACAAATAAAAAAAATTTGTTGTTATAATATATGTTATAAATTGTTTCTTGTTTAAAAAAAAAGAGGTTTAAATGTCTCAGCATGTTGAAATGTCATCACATGCATCATCAATGCAGCATGAAGTGCCAGTGTATCAAAGTGAGCCAAAACGGCAGTTGATCACAGGAAATTCTTGTTGGAAATGAAACATTACTGTCAGCTTCATCACTAAATCTAGAATTAGTTAATAAGAGTGTTTACTTCTCACCATTTGTATAGAGCTACAAGCAAAGATACATTTCTTTATATCAGTGACATATCAAGGTGTTAACCTCAAACACCTTGTAAACAATTGTATATATAGAAGTAAATGTCATAATGATTGATTAGATGACATAGAAAGTTATAAAATGCTATTGAAAATGTAATTTTATGTCTAATTAACTTGATTGTATCCCTTGTACATTAATCATTGTTCTAACGTGTGTTTTGTGACATCATAATTTTCAAATTCCTTGTGTCATCTATTATTACATGTTTATCCTCTCCCATCTAAAACATGTGACATAATAAACATTAGTAAGATTTTCTCACTGACAGGAGTAAAGTATCTATGCATTTCAACTTACAAATTTTAGTTATTACTGGTGCTTAACATGCGTAAAATGCATATTTCTAGCATTTTAATGTGCATGCATAGCAGTTTTAAATGCATATAAATCCAGTTCCTAATTATATGAATATAAAAACATCTTTCTTTACACAGATATGCAAATTTGAAATGTTTAAATATGTGTACAATCTTACAGCTATTTTTAACTGTGGTCAGTGGATCAAAATTATTTATTACATATTTTCTTCTAGGTATACATGAAACACAAATTATATTTTTATGCAATTTGACAGTAATAGACTTGCCATCAGATAATACCGAAATTTTAAATAATCAGTTTTCAGTTTGTATTGATTTTATTAGTTACTGTTAAAGTAAACATGTTACAACATTTAAAATTTTTTCTAGTCTACCTTCAATTGTATTAATTTGTACTTGAATATTTGTAGTCTTGGGAAAGAAGTAGAAAGATAAATTTTTATGATAACGGATACATAAATTGTAAATTTAAGGAAAATAAATTCTACAGCTTTTTCTGTACCTGGTGCGTCTCTCTCATTCATTAAATTTAGTTGTAAATGATACTGCCAAAGTAACAGTTAATTTTTTAATATTGTACAAGAATTCTACATGTTTTTTTTTTTTTTCTGCATCCCCTTATAGATGGGACATACTAAATTATAATATCACTAGTTTAACATTGAAATCTGTAAGTAATACAAGATGGGAGAGCAGAATAAATTTATCAAATATTTTAATGGATTTTTTTTTAAACTCCTGTCAACTATACCGAACTATCATAAAAACATAATCCAACTGATAGGAGTTTACTGGAAGTTTACTCTGTAAAGCACATGCACAAATGTGTATAATCTGGTTGCTTTACACCATTCAGAAATTATTGCCGTGAAAGTTGTCCTGTATTCAACAATACAGCGCTTTCATTCTGCCACTTATATTCGAATATACAATAGCAATTTTATAATCTTTTTCACATGTAATATGGAAATTTGTAATAAGAACATAATGTGGTTATAATAAAATATTAATTTTAATTAATTCGAAGTACATTAAAATATGAAAATAATTGCACAATATGTATTTATTTTAGAAAATATAAGGGAAGCGGCACTTCCACCGCTTTCAAGGACAGCATGCCACTGATCACACCAAATCAAACAGTTAAGCTCTTATAATACAACAGCTGTACACTGGTACAGCAAGTTAGTCTTCATTTCACTTTTGTCAGTTTGACATTGGTCATTTATACATTGTTAGTTTGCATATTGGCCATTTTACCAAAAAGAAAAAAAAATGTTTCTTAACTTGTATTTCTACTAATATCTGGTTACAAAAATATAATAGATTATTATTTAATAATTTAGTCATTAAACACTGAATTAGTGGGATGCAATTCCATTCATTATTCAAATGTTACTATGAAGTTCTAGTTGGGAGTGTTGAGATAGTAGTTCAGGTTTAATATAATCCATCCCCCCAAACTAAAAATAACTGAAAAAAAATAAAAAGAAATACAAAATTTGTGAGGTATCATATATTTAGAGAATCCCTATGAAACTTCTGAAAATTTTATTAAACCATCAATGCAGATTTTATTTTCTCAAACCAAAACATGCAGCAAGTGCTGCTTTGCATCAGTGAAAGCAGCCATTTTGAAATGCATACCTTACAGTGATGGAATTTGGTATCCTCAACCAATTCTGTAGTCTTCTATTCAAAAGGGATTATATGCTTTCAACATTGTAATCACCCTATGCAACTATTTTTTCTAAGTATTCTATTAAAAATTGAGGAATAATTTCTTTTTAGTAAGAATATCTCCATTGAAATCTTGTACTAATATGTAAAACAAATAATTTGCCACATTGTTTAATGTTAATTATATTTATATAAATACATTTTTAAATTTTTTAGGTATTTAAATGCCATTCAAACAATTTGTCCACATATTCTGAGATACCTAGCGACTGCAGTTATAACTAATAAACAACACCGACCTGTGCTTAAAGAATTAGTAAAAGTTATACAGCAGGTTAGTTCTTTATTTTATACGTAGTTGTATGTTAAATACTAGTTTATACTTTTTTAACGGTGATTAATTTTTTTCAGGAATCTTATGCCTATAGAGATCCAATTACAGAATTTGTTGAGTGCTTATATGTAAATTTTGATTTTCATGGAGCGCAGAGGAAACTTCGTGAATGTGAAGCGGTGTTGGTCAATGATTTCTTTCTTGTGGCATGTCTAAATGATTTTATAGAGAATGCCCGTCTTTCCATATTCGAAACTTTTTGTCGCATACATGAATGTATTTCTATTGAGTAGGTTTACTAAAAATTAATACGTAAGTTCTAAATGTTGTGAAAAATCAAAACTGATAAAGGATTTTTTTTCTCTTGTTTCGTAGCATGTTAGCTGAAAAACTGAACATGTCACCGGAAGAAGGAGAAAAGTGGATTGTTAATTTAATTCGTAATGCACGACTGGATGCTAAAATTGATTCAAAACTGGTAATTTTTTTATGAAAAATAAAATAATTATTATAATAACATATTTGAAAGGAAATTCTAGATCATTGTTCTAAATAAATTTAAGGATTATTAAACTTTTAATCATCATCATTTTCATATGTGGAAATAAATGTTCTGAAAAACTCATGTAATGTATACATAATTGATGTTAAGAAAAGCAATAATGAAATTCAATTAATACTTCATCTTTTATTTATTATGTAATATCGAGTGTTGAATATTCAAGTTTTTTTTCGAGAGGAAACAATTAAAATGCAGACAAACAAGAACAACGGACTAAAAAGATGTTTTCAAATCAGAGAAACAGCAGTACTAAATAAATTTATCAGAAAATAAAAATAATTCAATACATTTTAAAAAACTTCAGACAGTTTGTTGAGCTTTTCTAATGCAAAATTATCAAGAACAAATGTAAGACTACTCAAAAACATTATATTCAATTAGATGTTAAACTTAACTCTGAATTAAACAAAATCAACTAGAATGTGTTTTTTTTGTAATTTTTACTCTACAAAAAAAGCATTTCACATTGGATTATATTTTGTGGACTTTGAGTTAAATAAATTTTCACTTTCTATCAAGGTTTGCCTCAAATGTAAATTATTTTTGGAACTACTCTAAAAAGAACTTCGTGGTCTATTTAATTTTGCAGTATTAAAATTCAACCAACTTAACATACAAAACAGTATATTGAATTGACACGTTTACTGCCAGAAACACTTGGATCAGTCTATGCTGCATGTGCTTATCCCTCTCATGCTGTTGTAAAAGTTCCTGTTTTCTCTCACTTGGAAAATTTTATTTATTTGTAATTTTTTTGGTACATAGCAAGGGACATCACTTTCTATGAAGATAGTAAATATGTTAAAAATAAGGATGATGATGATTCATTTTACTTAATTTGATATTGTTAATCATAGTTCAATCAATAGAATCTTAATATTTAGTAAAAATGACAATAGAGATCTTATAATTTTATATTTAATCACATTCGATCAGTTTCTAGTAGAACTTCGAAATGTATTCTTAGATGACAGTAAAGTTTGCCTTCCAAAGTTTTTTTGTTTTATAAATTTTTCCTTCATTATATTTAACATCATTACTTTTTTCAATGTTAATTGTGTTTTTAAATGTAATGTAGGGTCATGTGGTGATGGGAACGCAAGCAGTTTCTCCTTACCAGCAGCTCATTGAAAAGACAAAAACACTGTCCTTCAGATCCCAGTTGTTAGTAATGAATATAGAAAAGAGAGTTACAACTAGCAGTTCTGGAAAAGTAAGTAGTAATGTTCTGTAAAAGTTTTTTTCTTTGTAGCATAAATCAAACGAACTGAGAAAAATTAAAAAATTTTTTTTTTTTTAGGCTTCTCATTGGGGAAATCAAGATTTTTGAATTTATAAGTGTATTTGTAAAAAATTTGTTTAAATAAACATCAAATTATCTTGTGTTTATAAATTTGATTAAACATTCTTATATTTAAGATGGCGCCAAGTGAGATGTATACATATTTTGATAATGCATTTCTTTTCTGCGCATGTTAATTAAGTTACACTGCATAACTTATTTAATGATTTAAATAGAAGTTTTCTGATCAATTAATACAATCTTAAAATAAAATCCTTAAAAATAGACATTTTTCAAAAGTAAATTAACAAACAGAATACAGTAGGTCCTCAATGTAATAGACTAATTGGGGAGAGTGTTGTCAAAAGTCCATTAAATTGAATGTTGTACACTGTAAGTTTGTTATTAAGGTGTATTAAAATGTTGTACATTAAGTAATTTATACACACTGATCTTTCTTTTAGCATGCTCTATTTACTAATTAAAGGAAAAATTTAGAATCTTTTTAGGACAAAAAATTTTTTGCTCATTAAATCGAGTCTGCTTTGTGTGTGTAAAATTTTGTTTTGTAGTATATTTGAGCTCAAATTAATCCATATAACCACTTACATTGGCTCAGAAGAGAATTTAACACATGTTGAAAAAATTTTTTTCAAGTTTCAGAAAAGAATTTTGTATAAAGCAAAGTTTTTAAACAAGAGAAGAAACAAAAATTAAAGCACTTTTTTTCTTGTGTATTTTTAAATCAACTAGTTCATCTTCAGGTATGTTCCAATGGAATCAAAACAGACAAAAAGCATTGTTCACTTACAAGTTTTATCATATAATTTTTATCCAAATACAGTAGTCCCACAAACTTGACTTAATGTGGACTGAGGTGGTAGTGAGATACCGAAAATAACAAGTTTTACAGACTCCTGTGTTAACAATGAAATGAGAGAAACCTATGATACTAATCTAAATAGTAGAATTTTCATAAATATTATATATATGCAAATTCATATACGTATTAACTATGTACCATTAGTAACTATATCTATAGTTAAATTTTAATGTTAAAAATATTGGCTATTCGTGGCCACTTTCAAGTTAGTAACATTTGTGTCATGACGTTTTGCAATGGCACCTTGGATTTATGTTTTGTTAACATGTATAACATGTAGAATTGATGCTATCATCAAATGTCACTGGTGAATAATGATAATTTATTTTATCCCAGGGGTAAGTTATAGATGTAAAAATTACATGTATTTTGTTTTTGAACAACATAATGAATTTTACAGAATGTCAGTTATTGAAAGTTGTATTTCAGGGATTCTACTGTACAATTTTCTGTGTTGTCATCAAAATTTGCATGCAAATTTTAAATTGAAATATCTATGTAGTGTTTTCAAAAATAAACCGAACTTACATTCATTGCTATATGCGACATTTATCCATCATTCTGGTGACCAGTCTGTGTGTTTGTTAGTCAGTTCTTTTGTTGGTGATTTGAATCTTCACTTTCCTTTTGAAGTAAGAAATAACTTCTTCATTTGATAGTAGTTGTGCCCTTTTTCTTTCAGATGACGGCTTGATGTTTTAGCAGACAATTTTTTTTAATATCTAAAGACCACAACTATACTCAGCAGAAAATAATTAAATATATAATCAACACCTTAGCTTTCGCTGAGAGATTATTTTTATTAAAACGAATGTTTTCGACCCGTTCATTGGATCATCTTCAGGTTAAATAGAACACTTCATAAATAGAACAATACGTTTAAATATTCAAAAATACAAATAAACCGATAACATAAAAATAAATAATACTTGTAAATAATATAAATAACCTAATATCAATACTAAATATTAATCCGTCTGCCTACCTAGTTTTAATAAAAATAATCTCTCAGCGAAAGATAAGGTGTTGATTATATATTTATCTAAAGACCATTGATACACTCATATTTATACCTTGAAGTCATCCTCAGCACAGGAGGAGAGTGACAATTAGTTCATATACTGTCTTTCAAGGTCAACCACTTTACATTGTTTTGATTTACTTGTCTCTTGTTGCACTTTTAATAATTATCCAGGCATTACAGAATTAAAAAATATATTAGGTACTTTTGAATTAAAGATTTGTTAATTATTCAACTGGTATTAGTAAATAACTGTACTGTAATTGTTTTGTGTTCCTAACTGTAGTAGCTTTTCTGCAATTTCAACAAGCATTGCTAAACATTTGTCACAAGGTCATATTTTATAAATCACAGCTGTGTTAAACTATAAGTGAACAAATTTAAACTGGCATTAAATGGGTAATAAAATTACAATCTAAAACTGCTGAAATTAAAGTTATGCTTTAATTACTACAGATACTTGTAACGTGGATCACCATAAAAATGGACAGTGTAAGTAAAAATTCTTGCAAAAATAAATCTGGGTTTTGACGATAATAATTTCAAATTAAACCTTTAAATACTATAAACTCAATCAAAAAGAGAGTAGAAGTTTGATGGCATTTTGGGTTTTTTTGACATTGTCACGAAATTAAAATTATATGAGATGAGAGTGCTATCACCTGTACAGCACTTTTTTTTAATAGTTTAGATTTGTAATTTTAAAACATTATTATACATCCATCCCATAAATTTGGGTGCTTTTATGTGACCAATATGTAAAGAACCAAGATTTACTGATGATGATCCACAGCTGGTAAAGTGCTGGACTAATGTACGGTATCAATGTCACTGGTTCAAATTAACCTTGGTGTTTCTGCCTTCTTAATAAAGGTCAATTGTAGAATTTTAAACCAAACATTTTCATGACATTTAAATTCATATATTAAATATATTAGTGGCATTTTTGTCATTTTTCATTGAAAGTTTAATCAAAGTTAATCATTTAAATCTCATAATTTCCAATGCAATTAAAAATAACAAATTCTTTAAGAATTTTGAGACATTTTTAACAGCAATAATTAAAAAAAGCATACATTATGAAAAATTTACTTGAAGCTTCCTGCCCTTTAAACATTGTTTTTCTAAATCATATAGAACACACTGATAATTAATTGACTACAAGAACACACTACATTTTAGATGGACAAATCAAATCTTTGAGATACTCATTCTGAAAGATGCATTTTGGGTCTAGACCCCTCCTTCAGTTGCACACTATACAAAATGTTGATGTTGGTTCCGAGTAAAACGAAAAGAAAAATTTTTTAAAATTGTTTAAAGTAATGTAACAGATACAGTTATATGATTTTACATTATTATTATTATATTTTGTTAACTCAATAGTATATTATTAAAGAGAAGTAAATGTATCTCCAGGTAACTCATTTTTATTTATTTAATAAAATTATCCAAAAAACAGATATTTCAAACAGAATTTTATTCAATAGTGTAAAACTATTGAATAAAATTGATGGCTTAGATTATAAAATTTTATAGTTTTAAAATATTATTATACAGGAAATCCTCATTAATTTGGACTCTAATGGTTTGAAATTCCGTTAGTTCGTAACTGTACTTTCATCTTGACCAGGGATTCGGTTAATTCAAAATATGGCTACCTTGAAATTTGAAGTGAAAATTCTGTCCAAACTCTGATATGCCTATATTAACTCAAAGTGCCTCCATGCTGTAAGAGAGCACTAGACCAAGAATAACTCCAATCTAGTCAATACGGCTTTGCTTTTACAGTAACACATTTTTGGGTGTCAGCTTAGGGTGAGACTATGCAGATGCGAGCGAGCAAATTTTCCGAGCAAACGAGAATATGTGGCGAGAAGAGGCGAGATGCGATAAATATCAAAACCTGTCAGATATGTGCGAGAACCAGAAATTCACTCTCACCAGCGTTATTTCTCGCTTCTCGTTTGTGCATGGTTTTCCTTTGCGAAAACTAAATCACTCGCTCTAAATTCAAGTCTGCATAGTCTCACCCTTACCCACGGACTACCTTTTTTCCTATAATCTCATAAAACACAGCTGGTTTTTAGGATTGCAAGATTGGGATCATTCTGTGATACTTTGTAAGGAACATGACATTGTCCATGTATCTCTATGAGCAGATGACAAATTTCAGGTGGTGTAACCTTTTTGGCCCTCAAAAATTGAAACTGCAGTAGCAGATTTGAGATATTTGTAGGGCTCTATGCTACTAGATTTGAGCAACTTACTACTATTTTGGCTACATTTCAAGGAATCTGCTTTACTTTTTTTTTTTATATAAAACCTACTATCTTGCAACCTGAGAGGCTCTTACCAGACACACACTATTTACCTTCATATTTTCATCAATAAGTAAATTGGGTTATGTATCCATAACCCAATTATTTACTTAATAAATTACATCACTTATATGGCATTTGGCATAGTGTAGATATACGTAAATTTCGGATAATTTGAAATCACAATAATTTCATTCCTGAATTCTGAACTAACGAGGATTCCCTGTGTTATTGTAAATGTAAAAACAGGGTAAAAATTAACATACCCATTGAACAATATGACATAATTTATTAAAAACAACTGTTTTATGGTAGAAATACAAATAATATGGAGCAGACTGACTGAATTACAGGATAGATTACAAGAGACTGATAATTAAAAAAATATATATTTATTAAATAATTACTCAAAAAGATTGATAAAGAATTTATGAAGCCAAATTGCTAACGACAGATTTAAAACACACAAGTCTTATCCTCTTTATTATTATCTATCATTCCCATATTTAAAAAGGTTTTTGATTTTTTTAAAGAATGATGTACCGAATAACCATTCTGGGTCTTAACCTTAATAATAAAATATAGTAATATTAATGAAAGAAAAAGGAATAATATAAAAAATATAGACAAAGTTGCAGGGGTGGTCTACAGCAGTGGTCCCCAATCCCTGGGCCGCGGACTGGTACCGGTCCGTGGATCAAATGGTACCAGGCCGCCCAAGGAACATTAAATTACTGGTATTTCTATTTTATTTACTATGGTGTATTTCTCTCAGGTTTGTGTGACTTTTAATGGACGACAGAACAACGGAATAAACAGGACATAAGAAACACACTTCTGGTGT